TCAAAAAAAGGTTAACCCTTTGTGGTATGTTGTCAGAAATTAGAATGGAAATCGTTGTAAAGAACCGGCGCAGCACTGAAGATGCATTCCCCTTTTCCTCACTCCGCACGGAGTCGAGGAGTCCATCGTCGCGGCGGAGGAGGGCAGGCTAGAAACCTCGACAGCTCGCTCTTCTTTCATTCGGATGAATGTCAGGAGGAATACCACTGAGATGACAGGCCCTGCCTCCGTCGCTTGGAGAAGAGGGAGGCAGGGAGAATTTTTCTTCTTGCCAGGCGAGTCCGTGGGTGGCAAAGGCCTCTTTCTGGAAGACTCTCCCCATTTGAATATTTTTGTCCATATTGGAAAATGTAGTCATGAAAAGAAAGATGCGGTTAGCTAAATAATGTTGCACCTGCTTGATTTTTTAAAATAGTATTTTCTATTATTAGTATATTATTCGGTTCCCTCTACTACCGACGGAAACTTTTTTGTCCCCATTATGCTCGCTAGACATTAGAGAAGAGTGTCATGGAGGTCCGGATTCGGCAACAATGTAGTTTGTACTGAAGGAGAGCAAAAACCTATTGTTTAATTGTTGGTAATACCTTTCTTACATTTCAGAGGGCGCCAGAAAGTCCTTGATCAATAGACGAATGTTAATCATATATTTGTGGGCGACATCTTCCGCTCTTTACTCGACTCGGCACAATGTTGGACTGGAAAGCCTCACGGTTGGTGCGATGGTCTCGCACGGAACCGGCACTTCAACTCGCAATTCTTCCAACTAATCACGATGGCAAAAAAAGGAATTGATTTCATGAAAACAATTATCATGTGCTGTCGGACCCAGACGTTAGGAGGTCACGAAAGAGAGCAGATGCCACTTCCAATCTACAAATCTGGGAAGAGGCAAGGACGAACTCACTAACTCAGACGGAAAAGTGTGGCAAATTTCCGTCACTTGCTGCCGTGAGGGGTATGTACAGGGTTGATACCTAAATGCAAAAAAAACGAGTAGGTCTATTTTAATGCAGAAACAAGATGCGAACGCATGCAGACAAGGCTAAATACGGGATTCGCAGCTCTGTCGGCTAATAGTGAAGTCTCCTTGACTTTCAACGGCGGCAGAAAAATGCCATCGAGCGATAGTTCCGACCAGTTTTTGACAAATGTCTCGGCTGAGCGTCGCCCGTTCTTATTTCAAGGCCTGCTCTGTTTGGCGATTCCTTTCGGCCAAGTTTGCTTTGAGGACTGCTGAAACGTCCTCAATCACTGATATGGCCATTGGAGCTGGAAGGCGGAATTTGCCGTCCGCCATTCTTTCGTAAACTTGGATGTGCTCATACAAAACGTTACCACCCCCCGTTTGTCCCAATTTCAACGCTTTTTCCCCTAAGCTTTACTTGAAGGGTTTTCTGACAGGTTGAAAGAAGAGGAAAAACCTTTTCTCTTTAACTTCAGTTTCATCGTCCCAATTTTAATGAAGGTTAACATTTTTGTAAGGGAGTGTTTAGAGGTGATTGTCTTCTTGCAGGAACCGTGGCTCTTGGGAATCCCTGAACATATCTGTAATGATATGGATGACATTGAGAGGCACGATTGAATGTCCCGGGTTCGGTGGTGTAGTGGTAGCACACCTGACCGGCAATCAGGAGGGCTGGGTTCAATACCCAGCCGTCCCCTGGCTTTCTTTCGTCCTCTCCTGCCATCCAATCTTCCGGCCATTCTCATGACATTGATGTCAGAAGTGGGATTCGTTGTACAACAGGTGATTGTGGAATGTGAGCTACCTCCCACAAATCATCAAAATCATCAACATCTGTATTACCACAAGGATATTTAGTACTCTCAGAACGAACTTGAGGGGGCCTAATGGGTTGAAATTCCACCATAGGTTCATCACCCCGCCAAGAAAACTTTCGCAAATTCTCAACATGTTCACGTTTAATCCTTCCTGACATGTCCTTTATGTCCACACCTCCATGGTCACAGACCCTCTCAACAATAAATTTCCCAGCCCACTTAGGGGCTAACTTGGGACTCTCCTTTGGCTTTGTGATATACCTCTTTTGAACCACATCTCCCACCTTGAAAAGAGGTGAGAGAGGTTTTTAGACGTCAAAATGAGGTTTCTGTTGTGCCTGCGCGATCTTCAGATTTCGCTGCACCAAATCCAAGGCATTTTCAAGTCTGACCAAAGAAAGGTCAGCCAATGAATCTGTTGGTTGAAATTCGAAATGAAGAGGGGCCTTTGGCACTTTTTGAAATAAAGCCCCACTAGCGGCCTGCGGCCGCTACGCTGGCCGTCTAATCGGTGGAAATTTGAATCGTCTATTGTGTTCTTAACGTCTCCTTGACAATTCTCTGTTTGTTGCATTACCCAATCGGAACTGAACTGCTTCATTACATTGATATACATATAGCTTACAGTACACAGGGTTATACTGCTCCTAAACACCATCATCATGATATTCGCGCTGATTGTCATAATCGCCATTGTGAACGCCTCGGTTTAGCACGTTTTCATGAGACTCGAGACGACATTGCTGATTTCGTCTTCCCGACACATTCAACACTCTTGCATCACCGATTCATGATGCATCGGCTATTAGCGTTAGTGTATGGTACAGATACCAATTATTCTGTAACAGTACGGACCGTTTCCAAGAAATTGTTCGACGGCACAGAGGGAAGTTAGTGCATGTGCGGCACAATGCTAAAGACTAATTCCTGAAAATGCCAACCTTGCATCAAGTTGCTTAGCAGGCTGAACGGCTTTCCTATTCCGAAGCTCAGCATTCGCTGCCTCTTGCTGTTCAGCGGTCTGAGCGGCCCTAAGCTCCCTGCGTACATGAGCTTGCTGTTTATCACAGATTCTAATCTAATCTAAGCCTATGGAAATAATAGGATGAGCCAAAGCCCATGGCTCAGACTGATATAGCGCCATGGACCTGGCGTTTTGAGTGGTGGATGTGTTGGGAAGACGAAATCAGCAATGTCGTCTTGAGTCTCATGAAAACGTGCTAAACCGAGGTGTTCACAATGGCGATTATGACAATCAGCTCGAATATCATGATGATGGTGTTTAGGAGCAGAATATCCCTGTGCACTGTAAGTTATATGCATTTAAATGTAATGAAGCAGTTCAGTTCTGAATGGGTAATACGATGAACAGAGATCTGTCAAGGAGACGTTAAGCACACAATAGACGATTCAAATTTCCACCGATTAGACGGCCAGTGTAGAAGCCGTAGGCCGCTAGTATATTCTAACTTGTACTGAGAAGTCTTCGTCGTCCTCATCACCCCTGGGTCTATTATCATATCGGCTATCAATACTCGTATGTACACACATATTTCATTTCAAAGATATTTACTGACTTTTTCCTAGGGAACAGATAAAAGTGAAAGGACGAGATGATCATATAATAAATGATACAAAGCCAGGCTGAATGTGAAAGTTGGCCTAGACTTATTTCAGGGATCCATTATAAAACCGAGTGCCACGGATATTCGGATCATTCGGAATAGCAACCATAGGTCAACATTAACCTAGGGTTGAAATGTTGCGACATGGATGAAGTGGAGATTCAGCGAAGTACACGAGGAATTTGAGACATATGAAATACCGACTTCTTGGAATTAACCGAATACGGAGCATGAAGCATATACATGGATTAGCGAAGTCGCTTGGAGGCCATTAGGTGCAACTTTTTTGTCAGATTTCCCTTCGTCAGTGTCTCAATTTTGTTTCTAAATGGAGTTATCCATCATCATCCCGACAGGAAACAAGTCTAGGAATCTACCCGAGATGGCGCCTCACCTCCAATTTAGCGATTCTCACTGTGTTACCCCGAAAAATACAGTTCCCTGTATTTTTTAATACAGGACCCGATCTGTTCCCACGAACAACTTGAAGGACGGCTTTGGAACTTCTAGAAAGGCCCCGTGAAGGAGGTAACCGATCAGAAGGAGACTCCTGTTACTCCAGGCCAGGGGGTCCGAGGACACATGCCGAATTTACCCTACCTCGCTTAGCGCCACATTGACTTGTGCTCTGATAACCCAATCGAAAAATGACTGCATGCCAAGCGGTCATTTGAGCATCGGTTAATCGGTTGAGCGTACGTGAGCATCGTTATGCCCAAAGTGGGCGATATGGAAAATCATTCCTTAAGCAGTTATCTGCTTTTAAATGCGTCCAAAGCATTCTCTTCTGTGACTAAAGATTCTAGAGCAAACAGGAAACTGGAGTTTTATCATTTTTCTTTATTGTGAGCCAGGCTTGTAGACTGTCTCTAGCAAAAATATTGATGATGGTAACGAGAACATCACTTAATAAAATTAATGGATTATGTGTCACACGTGTTTCAGACGTATTCTTGACTCGAAATTAGGAGGAAAGAGAATGACGAAACTAGTCGCTGACAACTGATGCCCATCACAATAAAAATGTTTGTGAGATAGAGCAAGGAGAGAAGACTAAGGTGCTTAAGAATCGCCTGCGTACAAATAAGGACCTTAAAAATGCATTTGGGATTCCGTAGAAGCTTCTAGTAAGTGAAATTTCCACATAGACTCGTATATGACCTGTTTACGAGGTTCCACTAGAATTTGCAGACTTTGAAACCTGCAATATTCGTAAATATGTAAGGGTAATCATGCAACTTCATGCAAAATAATGTTTAAGTTATTGCCTGATTTCCATACCACATGTGCAGCGAAGTGTGTAGATTCATACATAGGGATTTCGCATGTGGTTGGTAGAATATGACGTAAAGGATGCAAGTCTCTCGAAAACGCGGAAACAAATCAATTAAGTACGGCTGCACACCCTCTAGAAAATCCCCCAGGTAGTATTCCGGTCCCTTGAACCTCAAGATCCAACAATATAATTTTTCTCAAGAATATATTACTCCCAGAAGTAGCGGACGCATGCGAAGTATATAGATTTGAAAGAAGAAGGTTGCACGGAAAGCGAACATAGACTATTCACGCGAATAAATTTTGGGAATGTCAAAAGTGCTTCATGTCCCATGCGAGGTGGGAGGGATATCCCGAGCGGGCGCTGCGACGGGACACTCGTCTCTTGGGCGGCTGATTCTCCATCGACTTCTGACCGATTCCGAAGCATCTGCCGATGAATGCAAGGACCAGCAGGGGAAGTATCTCGATGACTTCCAACATCATGACCACGGAGATTCCCAAGTAAAGACTCAGGGCTCCACCCACGTTGCTCAACAGGCTCGTGCCCTGAAAGCATCCGCTCTCCAAGTTGATGGGAACTCGACGGACTACGACAGACGACGTCTCGTCTCCAAAAGAACCATCGCGGTGATGTTGAGACTTACCGTCACGCTTGGAGATTCCGTGATTGTTTCCTGGGCGATCGAGGAGAAGTAGATGATGACTTTGACCACCTCCATCTTCATCGTATCATCATTCGTTTGCAACCTAGTCCCCAAATCCATCGAATCCATCGCGCTCGACTGAAGAGTTAGAAAAGGTGGTTAAATCCACTTGAGGCAGGAACTCTGAGAAACTCCCGATTATTATACTTATGATCGAACTAACCAGGTAGGACGCGGTTGGCCATTCCGACGAAGATATCGTCGTTTGGTATTCCGTTTGTCTATGAAGGGGAGAAATGAATTCGTTTCACTTGCATTCTGAGTTTCGCTATGGATATGGGAATCCTGCCAGATATGCAACTTTATCCGTCTTGATAACTTTATGACCACCTGCTTTCAATGAATAAATACAGCAGTTTTTTTGGGGGAAGGGGAGTGCAAATGAGAAAAGCAAAACGAATACATCTCAATGTTTTTCCGTCTCTCTCATGCATCATTGCAGCAGACTTAATTCTCCAAGCATAATATTTCAACAGATAACGGATGTGTTTCTTCTCCATTGGAGGTGCTCGGAGAAAACGGATGTCTGATGAAACTTTACATCCCATATCAACATATTTTAAAGTATTAATATATTATTTAATATTGTATTAGTTCACCATGAACCTTCCAGAACCATGCTATATATATTTTGAATTAAAAGTAGAGGGATGGGCAGTGGTGGGCAGGGCTGTATTCTTCAGGGCAAGAATGTAATGCAATAAATAAATGCCATTAAGATATACATATCATGACGCTGTCTCCCTTGCAGTATTCAAGTTCCCGTCATGGAGGCTAATCGACTGCCGTCCTATAATCTTAGAATGAGACACACCATACCGATTTTGGAACTTTGAAGTACTTGATTAAGAATGCAAGTAAAGGTGTTGTGGGTGAGAGAATTGGTTTGCTATTTCGTTTCTGTCTTCATCAGAGAATCGAGATTCAAGAATAAGAGAACTTTTACGATGAAAGGTCTACACCGGGGGGCTGAGAATCGGCGCGATCGGCAAGGAACCGGACTCACTGGCATTCCGCGTTGCAGGGACACGTGATGTTCCCACTCGTTAGCTCATAATACACGTCGTTGATGCACTGGTTGTCGGTTGAATCTGCAGCAATCACGAGGAAAGGTTAAAATGCAGTACGTAAGGTAAAAATGCAGTACCCAGATAAAGAAGACTTTTGTCACGCATAACACGAATCAATAAAAAATGCCAAATCTTTTATTAGAATGCCACCTTGATCAGGCACGAAACAGTCCAAAAGGAATCCTTTATGAAACCTTTCGGTGAATTTAATGTTCCAAAAAAGTAGGATTCCAATGGTATCTTTTCGCAAATGATGTGAAATGTGTCAAGTGGTGATAATGCTAAATGCATTTGGTTTTTGGCAATTATAGATGGAAATTGACGAGGAGAAAAATGCGAAGGGGCACTTCAGATCGGGAAGACGAGCCGGTTTCAAGTGAAAAGCTGCTTCAATTCATACTTCTTCATGTAGGTTCAAGAACATTTTCTTAAAGGTTTGTACAAGAGTGAGGCAAGGGATAGGACAAAAATACAGGAAGCGGCAGACCGTAGTTTTCAATGTTGCAAGCCCTGGTCCCGTTGAGCGTCCCGTTCGAGAACGTGAAGTAGTCTTGGAGCCAGGGGCATGTGCAATTGCACATGTTCACCATCGTTGCCTGCAGGCACATTCGCCTGCACATCTAAATCCACATCCACCGTCAGCCTCGTCGTCTAATTCCATCAACTCTGGAGGTGTTATCACACTAATCGAATCACTTGCATCCTGTCCCACCCCTTTAGGAGATCTCGATGAGAAATGCTTTCCCATGCTGATAAAAGAAAAATGAGTTGGATGAGGCTTGCAGCCTGTTAATGGTACCTTGAAAAGATGGAAAACCTTAGAAAGCATTCGCCGGTAGTTGCCGCATCGCTATCAGTGCCAATTCGTACACGGATCACCTATAGCACTTCATAAGAAATTGGTGAATAGGCTAACTGGGAGCACACAGGGTTTTAATAAGATTCTTGGTTCTTGATTTAGGAATTCTATGTTTAAAATAATTATTGTTATACCTGGGTACATCCTCATCGATATTTGGCAACTCTTATCAACCGTTAGATTGTCTTCTGAAAGTCCTTGAAAAAATTAATACAACTTGGAAAATTGATTGGTAGTTGGAAAATATGATAAAGTCCTCGTACGTGGAAGAAACATGAAGGGCTTCTAACCCCCGCAAAAAACTGACCAAGGAGTCATAGGCGATGAGCTTTGGATCGCCTGGGAAGTAACCGGTCTTGGCCCACGAATCGTAGCAGTCGTTTTCGTAGGGGTAGGGCAGCCTCGACACTTCCATCTGCTCCAATGCATGAAATAGACCTTGTGGATGCTTCCTAGTAATGTGAGGAATCTGGACTAGTATTCACTTTTAAAAATATTCGTCAGATACAAACATGGACCAAACAAAAGAGAATATACATAGGTATGTTTTTTTTAAAATGTCATTTAATGTTTTTAATTGATCGTTCCAGTTTTCATTCTAATAAATTTAACACTAACACTGACATTTGTTGCTGTTATCCTCTTTCATAAATACTCGTTTTTTCAGCTTTCATATACATAATGCTGCGTTCGATAACCCTCATTATTACGCTTCCTGCCTTCATTCTGCAGTACACAGAGTCGTCTCCCTGACTAATATATAAGTCAGACTAATATATAATATATGGTCTTCGACCTGTCTAAGGGCAACATTGGTGGCCGTGCCAGTCCGTGCATCGAATCCGGATTCCCCAGGGGAAGGGAGGCTGTCGGATCGATGAATGACAACCCGGACACCGCCTTGCGATGACAGCACGTTCGATGGCCACTGACTTGCGTTCAGGTATAACTCCAGTTCCAGTCCTGTCGATCGGTATGCATAATTAACTGAGACTTCTCCGATGTAATGCAGTCCCCTAGGTCTACAGATAGAACACATGCATGACTCAGGCCGGGTGCGGAGCGATATAAAACTTCGATCCTCATCGATAGGCGCTCAAGCGTCTCTTCCCTTTATTCAACATCTTCCCGTCTTAAAATTCAACTTCCTTACATTCCTTTGTGCTTTCCTAAAGTGCATACTAAGGAGTGAACTTGGGCAAGTTTCTTTCCCTGAAAGTATAGAATCTTGTATAATATATTCGTTGTGTCAAGATTCACCTCTCAGTTACTGCTGGATTTGCCATGGCCAAAAATATCAATTGAAAATGTCTTTTTAAATAATGTTGCCCCTGCGATACATTGGAAACTTGACATTTTCCTTAACTGACATAAAAAGAATAGACGTTCTAAATGAAGATTGGGGAAACATTTTTCACTGGATATTCATTGACCCAAAAGCCATTTTACCCTTTATAATCATACTGGTACTTCAAAGTTGTCAGCTGGTAAGGTTTCTAACTTAAGCTTACCTTCTCCTCAAGCTTCACCTTAACTATCCTTTCCGTTTGAGGGCTCACACAGGAGGTGATGTCTACCAGCAGTAGTTACTGTCCATTCTCAACATCTGACTTCTTTTCAATAATTGTTACTAGTATTGCTTTGCATCAACGCATTTGGATGACATTTTTAGTATAAAAAGGAAAAACACACTTGCATGCATGGTGAATGTTCCGCATAAATGGCAGCAGTGTAAGTGCGTATATATTTCAGTTAAAAATCGTTGGTGTTTTTCTTCTTTTGGTATGGGCATATTCAACAAGTTCTCTTCTGTTATCGTGCAATTAAGAAAAATTTCTCTATTTTTGATGTGAAGTGGTATAACCGATTCAAAATGGAATGTGACTAGTGTGGGCTATATGGGAGGAGCTTGTCGATTTACCAGTGTATATGCTTCGCATGACGGGTAATATTTTGAAATGAAATTTTCGTTGCAGGGTTCTTGACAGGTATTTATACATTTTTGTTTTAAAGTTACGAAGGAAGTTATTGTCTAAGTGCTAAAGAACGGACCATTATCCGGACCAGGGAAAACTGTTTTCCTGGTTCCGGCGTCTGTATCATTGTCCTTGTTCAATTTCAGGTTGAAGACGTAGCAACTCCCATACGTTGTGTTTGCGTAGGGGAAAAATAAGCTGAAAAGGAAAAGGATTCAACAGTGAGTCAATCAATATTTCCTAAGGGAATCAAGAAATACTCTTTGATATGACCTTTGACAGTCGACGCCCTCGTAGGTGCAGCTGCGGATGAACTTATCTTTATCTTGCATGCGGTCTATCTTTTCCTCTCCGGTCAGACTTGATAGAAGAAACAAATAAGAATTTTCTGCAACTTTATCGGTTGTGAAGCTCTTACCTCCGTCAATCTGAAACGGGGCAGACAACTCGGTCTTATTTTGACAGCAAATTAAGGACTACAGGTTCTTCTTCGTGAAAACTTATTCCGACCCCGATGTGACCTAGTTCCCTGAGTTTCTATTAATAATAGATTCCTAATGCATTTCAAGGAAAATAATGCTGTAGAAAAACATAAGACGGGGTGGCACGAAAACATTTCGTGATTTCTATTATGTTGGAATAAGATGAACGAGATTCATCCTTGCAGTTGGATTCAAATCAATAAAAATGATCCCATGGAAATATTAATGATGCCATTTTGCTAATGCAATCTTTCTAATGCATCCATGATCCTTTGTTGTAGGGTTTTGAACGTCATTTCGATCGCGAAATCTTTGATGGGAATCTGAGTTTCTTCCTCTTGAGCTTTTTCTACCGAAAGGGAGCTACATAGCTCTCGAAATGTGTGGAATCAACACGATTGAGTGAAGTAAGGATTATGAAAAAATACTAGATAATTTACTAAAGGAGGAAGAAGATGTGTTATTTCTATTAAAATGGGGAATGCTTGGGGAATG